AATGAATGAATCTTTGAAATGATCTGTTTAATGGTTATGGAATGGTTTTCTCTCGAAGCACAAGACATTTGATTAAATTTTTAACTATATTTCATTATGATAATAAATATTTAATTCTTAGTCTTTTTGAGCTATATTTGCGGAAAAGTGCTAAGTTTCCCTTTTCGAATTTAGTGAAGAAACAAGCACAGTAAAACCTGTTTTTGTTCGGTAAACTGGAACCACATAAAAATAAACCGCGCAAAAAAAATATTCGATAATTTCATAAATTCTTACATGTAACAAACAACTTCGTCAAAATACTGCAGAAAAAAATTTTATGCGGTGGAGAAGGACCGTATAAAAAAAGTCACACTTAGAAAATATGCCAATTAACGAAAAAGTACTTCCATAGCAAAATGAATAATTAAATTACACATGGAAAGATTTTTAAAACATTTAGTTTCTCATTGTATACATGGAAAAAGTTTTCAAAATGCGCACACACAATTTAATTCACTGTTACTCATCGTAATCCAAATCGCTCATCTTCCTGTAATAAGTTCAAAATCGCTTTCTTCACTTGAAGATACAATTTAAATCGATTTATTTTTGGCACCATAAAGTAAGAGATAAGGATCTAATCAACTAAGGCCTGACTAACGTCAAGTACGTATTTACCCAATTTATAAAATATTAAAGGCAAAATCTGACTTTGCAGGGGGCTAACATTCTCCGATCGCCACTGGTACATTGATAGAAAACATGACAGTGCCGCCAAAGCCGTTAAAGTTTATATACCGCATAAAAAACGATCGCACAAAAACAAAATCACATAAAACAAATCGCACAAAAAGACCTACTGTATAAATAAAGTAGTTTCTTTTTAATTTTTTCAAAAAAAAAATGTAGGAGATGTAATTTATTGCCTAAAAACAGTCAACGGAATTGAGCCGTAGTTAATAATCGTCACTAAGATTTCATTTTTACTTCTACCGGCACTTGAAAATTGTTTCAGACAGATTCGTATGTGTGTGTGTGGATTTCAGAAGCTTAAAGTTTAAACAAAATCAAAACGTGAAAAAAGAAAAAGATTGTATAAATTAACGTCGCGTTCATTAATTTATAAGTGGCTGCAATAGCCGGGTTCCTACAGTAACAGATATGTAATCGAAGGGTAACTGGTTCCCCCTTTCAAGAACTGTCGTGTGATGGGATGATACACATTTAATTTGTTGCGATGTAAAATGCTTGCCTTGATAAGCTGAGGAAGTTAAGAAAGATGAGATTTCAACTCGGGTGTCGTGACGGTGGTAGCCACGTGGTTATAGTCACGAACTCGTGGCTGGCGTGTCACGTGTTCGAGTCCTGGTACCACTATGGACCAGCTGCTTAGAGAGGGCTGATGCACGTTAAATATGTTGAGCTCAGAGTCCTCCGGTTGGCGCTTACGTGGTCCGTCGCCAAAAGCCCTCGTGCAGCTGAACAGTGCGACGTTAATATTCAATCAATCAACCTCCGGTTGGCGCGATGTGGTAGTTTGAAGAGGGGTGCCAACTCAGGTTTCGTTCTCGTTACTCAATCGAGGCTCAGAATTATAAGGTCCGTCGCCAATAGCTCTCTTGTTGCTTTATAATGTGACGTTGATATAACGCCCTCTCACTGAACTGAAGTGTCGTCTTCGTCTTTTGATCGTGATTCATTATTACAAGGTCTGTCATATATATATACACTCATGTCCAAAATAATGTTTACATGCATAAATTCATGGATTTCTCAGAGACTATGACTTATAATTTAATGAATTTTCGTGGAATGATACATAACATTATGACACATAAATGCAAAAGAAAAAATTGAAGATTACCACATGTAGCATGAAACAATAAAAATGGTAATAAAGTGTAACAAAGAGAGTTAAGAAAAAAAGGAATGATTCAGAAAAAGAATTAAGTCTTACGAATTTAATATGGAATATGATCTCCCCTGACTCGTACACACATATCACAACGTGTTTTAAGGCTGGAAATAACGTTGTTAATCACAGTCTGGGGAATTAAACTCCACTCTTCCAGCAATGCAGTCTTCAGGCCATTTACATCTCTAGGAGGAGGATGTCTACGGGCAATGGCTCTTCCAAGGTAGTCCCATAAGTTCTCTATTGGGTTAAGGTCAGGAGAGTTTGCTGGCCAAGGTATTCGCTTAATGTCTTCACTTTCAAGGAATTCATCAACGAGGTTTGCTCGATGTGGACGAGCATTATCATCCATAAATAAAAAGTCACGTCCATATGCACCCCTGAAAAGTCTTACATAAGGATCTAAGACCTCATCCCGATATATCTGGCCTGTCACAGATCCGCTTCTGAACACGTGTAGAGGCGTACGTCCATCGATCATTATTCCCCCATACCATCACACCTCCACTACCGAAACGGTCACGCTCCACAATGTTCGAGGGATCATTTCGTGTTCCTGACTCCCTCCAGATGTAAACACGTTTAGAATCACCTGTTAAACTAAACCGCGACTCATCAGTAAAGAGAACATGGGACCATTGATGTTCAGTCCAGTTTTGATGTTCTTTACACCAATTAAAGCGATCCCTCTTTTTCTGTGAAGACAGTAAAACACATACCCTTGGCTTTCTGGCATAAAGGCCTTTTCGTTAAGCCTTCTGTATATTGTTTGCCGTGATGCAACAGCTCCAGTGGCGGCTGCAAGCTCTGAACTTAACTGGCGAGCAGTAGCCTTTCTGTTACGACGGGCAGTTAATGCCAGTTACAGATCTTTAGAAGCAGTTGTCATTCGTTTCCGACCTTGTCCAGGCCTCCTTACAACAGTTCCATCATTTTGAAACTGTTTCCATAGCTTAGAGACTGTCTGTCTTGAAATATTCAGACATGTGGCTGTTTCCGTGATTGACTGCCCTGCTTCTAAACGGCCGATAATTCGCCACTTTACAGATTCTTCCAAATGATACCTCGAAGCCATAACAAACCACTTTGAGTCCCTACACACTGAAATCAAACGCTATGTTGCAGAAATTCACTCAAATATTCAGTTTGCGCAAAGCGCTTGATTCACCCTTGGATGACGTAACGCCTAGATTTGCATATCACAAACCGTTTGATTACTTTTGATTGGATAATGTAATTAGGCTTGGTTTTCACACATTCCCTGCAAATACGTATCACATTGATTGGATATTTCATTGAATATCATCATTTTTGGGTATGTAAAGATAATTTTGGACATGAGTGTATAAAAATCCCTCATGTAGTCTCTTGTACGATATTAATGAAAAAACATTAATTCACATACAATCTCTTATAAATGAAGTATCATCAATAAGGTTATATGAAAATTATAATGAAATTTTCGCATAGTAAACAGATTTAAAAAAATTTTAGCTTAATTTTTTTTTAATTTTTAAATTTACTATTTTTCTGTAAGGCTTTATAAAATAAATTCATTCTAATCATATTTTGAAAAATCAAAGCCTTTATTCGCCTAATTGTTAGAATAGTTGTTTGAATACGGTATATCTAATCAGTTATAATGATAATTTTGTTTTTGTTGCTCTAACTCCAGTATAAATTTATTTCTGGAATTCATTTTTCTTTTGAATTTGCATAAATAAATCTCGAAAAATCAATGATATATACAAAAAGTAGCATTTTTACTTAAAGCATTTTGATTTTTGAGTAGAGATAAGTGTCTAATATATCTTTTTCATATTAAATATAAAATAAAATTCGATGTGCAAGAAATGAAAAAGTTAACGGTGGTGTAAAATATCGAGTATATTTCGAATGTAGATGACATCATCAAAAGATAACTCAAGAAAATTTTACTTCCACCCGAGAAATCTAAAGGATATAAAATCCAAGAAGAAAAATGTTAGAAGCGTGACTGGTGGAATATTTTATTCAACGCGGAATTTCTTTCTCTAAGTACAATACGACCTAGAATCTTAATTCAGGGAAATTCAGAAAAAAAATTGCAAGAATATAGAGTGATTTATATTCCTTTTAGATTTAATACAAGAATAGATTTCATAGATATACATAACTTTTTTTTTTAGTTTAATCAAATTGAGAAATTTCTCTCGCAGTATGAGGTTTTTCATCCGAATATGTGATGAAAACATTACTTAAATTTTATTTCGTTTTCTTAAAAAAACTATTTGGTTATGGTAATCTGAAAGAAGGTAGTGAAAGTGGGAAAAATGTACGTAATAATAGAGTGGATATTACATATATACACGAAGATTTCATGAATTGAAAGTATTCGTAAAGAATACTAGTGTTATTTTGCGCAAATCTTGTAAAAGATTTGAATTTTTTAACAGAATACTTAACTTTTCTTTCCTCTTTTTGGCGTCTGTGTAAATATTGTGTGCTCAGAAAGTCTCTGTACATTATTTAGGCAATAACTAAAGTATACATTGTGTTTGCAAAAGATAAATTTATATAACATTGCTGTCTCTCTCGGAAGTAAATATATTAAATATAAAAATTTTAGATTGCAAAAAAGTACCGTATATTGCCGAGCAGAATTGACATATTCCGTATCAGTTTTAGGAAGGTAAGAAAAATATTGAATCAAAAAATATTGTATGCTGTAAAGACTAAAAAAACGGATATACGTTATTCGAGCTTGTTTTATTATAAGTTTACAAATTATAACATAATTTTAAGATCATTATTTTTCAATTCCTACTATCTTCCTCTCTCTCTCTCTCTCTCTCTCTCTCTCTCTCTCTCTCTATATATATATATATATATATATATATATATATCTTGTGTTCAAATTTTAAGTCGTTAATAAAATATACTTTTGATTCATCCACTCTTCAAATACATTTTTTAAGCTTGTAGTGGATGATACTTGGTGTTAATGCAGTTTTTTCAAATATTAATTCGTTAATTCTATGTAATTAATGAATAAATTGTAACAATAGTTGCAAACAAAAATAATGTTCCAACACCACATATGAAAAGAAAAATCGCTCATTGTGTCCGTGTTGCGCAATGGATAGCGCGTTGGACTTTTAATCCAATGGTCGTAAGTTCGAATCCCACCTTGGATGGCCTAATTTCTAAGAATGTGATTTCTTTCTTACTATACTATTTTATTGGAATAATTAAATTTAATTAATGAATAAATAGTAACAAACAAAAATAATAGTCCAACACCCTATATAGAAAGGAAAATGTAAAATTGCAAGGAAAATCGCTTTCTATGTTGCCATTTAATAATGTGATTATCTCATATGTATATAAATATTTATATTAATTATAACTATTTAATAAAAAGTATCGGAAAATAAAATTTTCTTTGTTGACCTAAGTAGGAATTGACTTAAAAAAATTGGTTTTATATTACACTTGTTTATTTATAGCTTCTCTTGGCCCTCTAAATTATTTTCATTGACGCGTAAACTATATGGTAACCAGATATAAACTATAGAATAATAAGATTAGTGTTTATTAGTTGCTATATATTGAAACTTTGTGTGAACATAAAAAAAGTTACTTTTAGAATAACTTAAATAATGCCTCAAGACAAGAATTTCTGAGCAGATTCGATACCAGTTTGATACTAAGCGATTTTAATAAGTTGTGTATTTCATTGTCTATTGTAAAGCATTAAACAAATAAAGTAGTAGACAGCTGTATGTTTACATTTGTCGCCACAAAAGGGCTATTATGGATAAATTGAATAACTTTAAACCCATGATTACGTGAAAAGGTTCTAGTTTGACTGATCCTCGAGATGATTTGGGTTCTTGCCAGCGATAGCGTTAAAAGGATTCTTTCCTTTTCTCTGAAACCAATGCTTTTTTATAATAAACGTTTGAATAATTTCAATCGGTCTGTAGAGAAATAAACTAGTATTAAAGACCATTTCTCAAAAAACTTGAAAGAAAGACATTGACTTTCTTCATAGTATCTGAAAAATATTTATTAAAAATAGGATAAATTATTTATAATTTATATTAAAAAAAATGTTAATGATCTTCCTCTAAATTTCAATACAGAAACGATATTTTACGTTGATGATGGACAAGAAAAAAAAACTGAATTATGTTTAACTCTGAAAGTCATAAATGTTTTTCAAATCATTCTAAAATGATAAATGTTTTGTTGGGTTAAAAATAATTTAAAATTGTCTTAAAAATATAAAAAGCAGCATACTTAAAATTTTTAAATGATAAAAAGTGACACATAGATAAGTTATTTTTAGTTTTAGAATTTTTTTTAAAAAAAAGGTTAAATTATACATGGGAATCTCTTTTTAAAAGTTATTCTACGTGAAAAATAATGAATTTTAGAAGTTATCGCGATCGTCGAGTTTCGTAAAATATTAGATAAGCCTTAGGTCAAAGTATGAGACCTTAACGTAGGACTCTTCATTTCTGGCCTGATAAAATGTATTTCAAAGTATCTTTTTCCCCCTGAAAAGTTTGGCATCAAGAAACTTGGCAAATCGCATAAAGAAAAAATTGTGCTGGGATTCAAATGGAGTTATGGGCCGCACGCTCAAATCAACTTCTGTCAAATATTCAGATGATGTGAAAGAAGATTTAGGGACCCAAAAATTCACGAGGACAAGATTTCGTTCCTCTAGTTAAGAATAGATGATTGGAATTCGTTTTTTAGGTGATGGAAAGTTTAGATTTGCTCAGAAGTGACATGCAGTCGAAACTTTTATTTAAGAATTTATCTAGATTTTTGGCGCCTTTTGAATTTGCAGAAAACTTTCGAATAATTCAAAATGGACTGAATCGAAATCCTAGGATATTTTGATTTTTATTTTGTCTCTTAGTTTGGGAATAAACCTTGCAACGCGTAAGAATTTGTTCAATATTTTCCATTTGATGTAAAAATATTTCTAGTATAATAACAAAAATTTTAAATGTTAATATAAAAATTTTGTTTTGCATCCATTGCTTCGATATTAGAATGTATTTTTAAATCGTCTACGTAGAATCTAATTCGATTATTAATTTCAGCCCCACCGAAGAAAGAGGCTGAAGCAAGTTAAATCAATATAGGCTTAAAGTCCTCACGTAAGCGTGGTGTGAAGAGTGAGGTGTCGTCCTCGTCACTTGATTGAGATTGGAGATTATGAGGGCCGTGTGTGTGTCGCCGACAGCCCTCGCCTGGCTTTAGAGTGTAAAGTTATTAAAAATCGCATCAAATTGATTATCATTTTAAATTGCTATCTGCTATTTTGGTAAAAGTAGTGGAGTTAATGTTTAATAAGATAGATTGGTGTTTTTGTGTTTCGACGAAGATTGCCATATGGAATGATTATTTCGTGTTAAATCTTTAGTGGGCTTCAGAGACACAGTGGTGTTGATCTCGTCATTTAATAGTGTTTCAAACTTGCCGTCTGTCTCTAATAATGCTGTCTTTGGTTAATGTTAAAGAATAGGACCCGAATTCGGAACAGTTTTTTAGATATAAAAGAAATGAAAAATTAATATGATTCTCTCTCTAGATTCACTATCCTTTAGAGAACAGCATTATTGATCATATATCTAATTTTTAACCGAGTTGATTCATTTTTTCTGGTATAAAATTTTCGCGTTTCTCCTATAACGTAATGTTAAATGGGCTATATGCCTTCACGCATTAAAACGAAAAAGAAAATATTCATGAAATATTTTGAAATTTTTAAAAACACTATATTGTTAACAGAGGTATAAGTTATAATGCTGCAAATTTCCATGGAAATCGAGGCATTTTTCTGTCTGAAAATGTGTTTCGTGGTTAGTTGGAGCTCTCGTACTTTTACCGAAGACAGGCTTAATTTATATTTTACTGTATGTTGATATTGATTCAAATTACCGTGACCGCGTCCTCTAGTGGTGTAATTTGTGAGATTCGTAGGTGGCCGCGGTAGCCCTGTGGTCATGGTCACGAGCTCGTAGTCGACTTGCGCTACTGAAAACCTAGAGACCTAGTGCTACTGAAAACTCTCATATAGAGGGGCTGAAGCAGGTTAAATCTGTCGATTCTCTAAGTCTACCCGTTGGTGTGGTTCGGACAAGGGAATGCCAGTTGAGGAGTCGTCCTCGGCATATGACCGTCCCTTCGAATTACGAGGTCCGTCGCCAATAACCAACGTGTTGCTTCACAGTGCTACGTAAATCAAATGAAGCGAAATTCGCGGCTGTAGTCGTCTAAGTTCAAATCCCAATTATAAGAACAATTGTTGTGGAGAATAATATTTGCTTGCTCCATATAAAATCGATCGAATCTTAAAAATATCTTGGTGTAGTGTGGAAATTTAGTGAACGAGAGACAAACTATTTGAGATCTCATATCAACCCGATTGTGATTCAAAATAATGAATTCCGTTATCAATTGCTCTAATGCGACTTGAATACAACACAAATCAATAAAAAGGGAACTAACTTATCCTGATTTTGTAAAATGCATTGGGTATTAAATGTACATTTAACTTCGAAATCCAATTACTACGATTGGTACGTTTCCTACATCCATCCGCGTTCGAGATGAAATAGTTTTCTGTGGAGCCGAGAAAAAGGGCTTTGAGAAATGATGAGGAGTCATTAACTCTTGATGTGCAGGAGTGCGAAAAGAAGGGATGGGGTCCACTCTCATGAAACGGGGCACGCTACTGCCACCTCAAGGTTCAATTACAGGTGTGTAGAGATCTTCCCTCCTGTTATCTGCAGTGGATCGATTCAACTCCTAAGGATGGAACTCCAAAACTATCTTCAACTTAGAGAATTCGAAATGTTTCGGAAAGGAGGGAGAGAGAAATTGCTTTTTTCTCTCTTCGCGATGGGCTTTCGCTGTTTATCTTCCGAGTGGGCCATTTGTCATTTTTTGATCATCGCTCTTCAAACTCAGTTTATTGAAGTAATTTTTCGTGGATCTGATGTACAAGGTGTGTTCGTGTGGGGTTTCGTATTTATTTTTTTTTTTTATAAGGGACTGGAAATTTGGGCGGCGCTTTGAGATTTAGAAACAATAGTTTAATTATTTTTATTTCTTTTTGTTTTTATTTGTGTATATCTCTTTTGCACCTCGTATTGTTGAGCGATTTAAATCCTGTATTAAAAAAATAATACTTAAAATGTTGTTTTTCACGAAATATTGAGACAACGTGTGAAGGTCCCTCGAGACCTCACTTTGAGAACGAGAATAATTTTGAGTCACAAAAGAACCAGTAGCCATTTTTATAAATAACTTTCTTTATTTGGTTATCTTTCCCAAATAGAATCAAAGACTTATTAACAATAATTTTACTAATATTATGAGGTTTTAAAGGTAATATCCTTTAAATTAACTCACTTAATTAATGATCTAATTAATTAATTTATTAAATAACGATCACGCAGAAATTACCACGATAAGAGATCCCAGAATTATATTTAATAATGTTCTTATTGAACATTTAACTTTAATCTGACTCTTAAAACTTTAATGAGACTTTAAACTCAAAATGATATTTACCACTCGGAATCTCAATTCTTCATGAGATTAAATTATCGACAACAATAAGACTTCAATTCAAATTCACTATAACTCTATGTTTCAATATCTATCTCCTACTGCTCTAACTTTACTATTTCGTTTGACTTAAATACTGAATCTAATCTACATAACAAGGAATCCTGTCCGCTTTTTGGAGTTGATTGGAAATAGGTAGGGAATTAAATTTCCCTAAAAAGGTCGGTTCAGAAGGTTAGTGATAAAGTTCCGTATAGATTCGTCACAAACGGTTAAAGATGATATAATGGTATGTACTTTTTCGTCGGCATTTAAATATATTTGAAATCGAAAATTGATTTTAATACAACTTTTTTTAAATTTTTGAAAAATTTCTAATATTTATGAGTCAACATATGAATTCATTTTAAAAGGAGTTTTTGTAATTAATTGCAACATTTTACATGTTCTGATTATTGATTGCGCGTATTTTGAATTAATGTAATTCTTAAGACCTCAAGGGGAATATAGTAGCGTCGGGCTTTTTAAACCACAATCAAATGGGGAGGACATCTCATTCTCTTAACTCCCGCACAATGCCGCATAAAAATTTACTTAG